TCTCAGAGCAGAAACTGCAGTCTGAAGATGACCCTTGATAACTTGTCTGATGTGTGAATGCAGCGCAGGAGACGTCCGTCAGTCACTGGAGACCTGAGAACAAGACTGTTCTTCTTTAAACACTATTAATAAATGCATTGTTCTGTAAATTCAGTTAATTAACCTTAAACTGCTTTAAGTCTTTAAGTGAACATGTATTGTTGAGAACTACTAGAGTTTTTTACTGTACAGAAGATACTTTAATATCTGAGCTACTGAAAGAGAAAATATGAACCGTTCTAAATCGCTCATCTCCAGCTGTGGCTCATTACAGTAGTCCTATACACTCTCACTGGGGCAGTACCCCTCCTGTCACTGGGGTGGAACCCTCAAGGGTTCATCTCAGTACCTTTAGTCAGGGAACATAACTGAACCATAATCCACTGAAATGATATGTTCTAAGCTGTACTGACTCCACACACCCCGTCTCGTCTCCAGGCTTTTATTTTACTGTTCTGTTTAAAACATTCAGTTATGAAAAGGTACAAATATGAACTTTTCACCTGGAAAAACCTTAAAAGCACTGTAATACCTTTGAGGGAACATTTACATTGTAACTTGATGAACGAAAAACATACCCGAACAGAACCTTTATTTCTAACAGTGTAGGGAACTTCAATATTTTATAATGTCACACAAGAAGAAGAGAAATGCTGAAACTGTTTGTTTGTAGTTTACTGTTGCTTTAGTCTGAGTTTGGAGGGAGTAATCAGATTAAAAACAACAATGATACTACTAGTGCCCTCTTGGCTGATGTGTATAATTTACATTCTTCCAAGTCCATTCCAGCAAGAAGATACTCAGCCTCCCTCGAGGAACGGAGCTCATAGGTTGGCTTGGGTTCTTTGACATTTATCGCTCTTGGACGCCCCCTCTGGTGCAGAACCACCACCTGCACTGTTGGAAATAAAGGTTCTGTGCAGGTACATTTTATCAAGGTACAAACAATGTAAACGTTCCCTCAAATGTACAGTGGTTTTAAGGTCAATTGTGCACCTTAAATTAGTTAGAAAAGTTCATATTTGTACCTTTTTGTAACCGAATGTTTTAAAACAGAACAGTAAAATAAAAGCCTGGAGACGAGACGGGGTGTGTGGAGTCAGTACAGCTTAGAACATATCATTTCAGTGGATTATGGTTCAGTTATGTTCCCTGACTAAAGGTACTGAGATGGACCCTTGAGGGAACCACCCACAGTGACAGTGACTACCTTTATTTCGGAGAGTGTGTGGCTGTCCTCAGTAACTCAAACCTGTCACACATCACCAGGTTTGGGATATAATGAAATACAAGTATTGTGAATAGCTGATCAGCAAAGTCCTGTTTGCACTGACAAATTGGAAGCAGTCTGTGGAGTAAAAGCTAAACAAGAACTTGTCGGTCTAAACCAATTATGTTTTGTAGCCTGTCTATTAAGATATCATGTTCAATTGAATTGAAAGCTTCACTTTAATCCAGCACTACCACATAAAGAGACTTCCACAATCTGAGGCAATCAGTAAATTGTTGATTTCCCTAGCCAGCGCTAATGGCTATGATGCTATGATAAGTGACATAAGACAGGCTGAAATAATTCATGATTGTAATGCCGACAGATAAGTCTAGTCAGTAATGTTTAAGCTGTGTTTTATTACATTTTTCAAACAGCATCATAACTACAATTTTATATTTTAAAATATCCAGGTATCACTGGTAACAAATCTGGGAATAACCTGAAAAGATGTTGAGTCAAAAACTCAAGTGGTTGATCTGAAGAACATCAATCATATTAACAATGATATTAAATCATATTAACAATGTCCATAATCAGAATCTTTAGTGGCATATGTAGGATTGATGGTAACCTGATGCTTAATTTTTCTATTTTGTTACTGAAATAGTCATCTGAAAGCCTCCAGCTTGTTTTTTCGCCACCTTCACTCAAACTAACTGTACCAGTGGACAAGTCTTCAAATAGTCATTTCCTAAAAGGTAAAGGAGCAACCAAAAATACTGGGAGTCCTGGGGGGGGGTCCGGGATTCCCCTAAATAATCTCTTGGACCCCCTAACTGTCTCAAAATCAAAATTCTGGTTGGTCTGTGAAAATAAATTTATTGTGATGTTATGCTGTCATTGTTTAGCTGCTTCACCCACAGTTTGTGAGCCTCTGTCTTTGCTATTCTTGACTGTCTAGAGATGCAGCACTGGTCTGCACTGGGTGAAATTAGTCCACCCAGTTTGTCCTTCATAGCCTAATAACTGTAACTATGCCTGGAAATTATTTGCTTGCTTCCTGTAAATACCGGCTATAGTGCCAGAGCCTGCACTCACAACAAGGTAGTGATCAAATACAAAATTGTTCAGAGGGACTTGAAGGACTACATTAATGCCAATCGTCAGAAAAAGGATAAATGCAATCCTTTCAGTCTCCACATTAATACTGAGTTCACACACTCTGGTCAGATGACTGTGGCTCCTCAGGCAGAACTCATGCAGCGAAGATCTCAGTAAACTCTGAGTCCACTTATCTTTAACCATGTCATTCACCTCCTTCACAATGCTATAGACTCCAGGGGTTCTAACTTCACCACCACCTTGTTTAAATTTTTATGTGTGTGTATAGAGCCAAATGCAAAAGTTTTGGCACCCTGGTCAAATTCCGTTTTGTTGATCTTCTAATTGAAAAATTAAAAAAAAAAATAATAAAAAAAGTGAATGCATCCTCTGCAGAGAAAACACACTTTGCGCATTTTAATGTACAATCATTGTTTATTTGCTAAATTTAAACAAGCTTTGATGTAATACTGAACTGAAGGGATACAATAGATATCAATCATGTGGTGAGTTAAGGGCCATTTAAAACTGTCTGGTGCTCTAAGTGTTGTGTCTGGGTTGTGCAGAAGCTGCAGAACTGAAATCTAGTTCTGAAAGAAGCTCTACATGAATTATGGCAGGCAGAACTCACTCATAGCTGGTGTAACACTGGAAATCCCAGTTGACACACTGCTCTGCTGCTGTGTAGTGGACACTAGGACGTCTTCCTCATCGTCTAATTTGCCCCTAGCTGTTGTAACCTTGGAAGACATGAAAAGCACAGTTAATCAATTAAGTAGTAAATCAGACCTAATATCAGACAAATATGTTTATATATTTATAATAATACAGTAACCCATTTATGTGTGTGTACAGTTGTCGGAGGTTTCCGACAACAGCAATATATATATATATATATATATATATATATATATCGCTGTTGTCGGAAACCTCCGACAACTGTACACTGGTAACTTTACAGGAGAAGGAAAAAATCATACTCTACTTTTAATATAAGTCAATGGAACCAGACTTTTCTCCAGGTAATTTCGGGTCATTTCTGTTGGTCCATTCATCATGAAATTTGCATACAATGTGAAGGACAATGGGAACTTTCAAATTACGTCAAAAACTGAAATATGACAAAAATGTATGTATATATGACAAAAGTCTTGGGACACCTACAAGAGCTTTCATTTGTGTGGTCAGACACTGATGTTGGACGAGAGGGTCTAGCTTGCAATCTCTGTTTTAGTTCATCCTAAAGCTGTTTGATGGGGTTTGATGTCAGGGCCCTCTGCATTGTACATTTTAAACTTAGGCTTGGGTGCAGCTGCTCAGCCATGGAAACCCATCTTGTGAACACACAGTTCTTTTGCTGGTGCTACTTCCAGTTTGAAACTCTTCAGTGAGCGAATCAACAGAGAATATGCACTGTGTGCTTCAGCACTCGGCAGCCCGCTCTGTGAGTTTGCGTGGCTGAGCTGTTGTTGCTTCTTGGTGCTTTCACTTCACAATAACATCACTTACAGTTGGCTGGGGCAGATCTAGCAGGACAGACATTTCATGAACTGACTCAATGCAGAGGCGACATCCTATGACAGTGTCATGTTTAAAGTCACTGAGCTTATCAGTACGACCCTCTACTGCCAGTGTTTGTCTACGGATACTGCAAGGCTGTGTGCTTAATTTTATCCACCTGTTAGCAATGGGTTTGGCTGAAACAGCTGAACTCAATAAATAGGAGGTGTGTCCCAATACTTTTGTCCATATTTATATTTATATTTATATATATATTTATATGTTCTTAAGATATATACTTACCTATAGCCCTGCTTTGTGTAGTCAGGTGTTGTTTCAATTTTTATGATTTCTTTCTCTGAAATTTTGCAAAGTGATAAAGTTGAAACAGCACTGAACAGGATGAGTGATGACACAAAGTGATATGAGGAAGAGCAGAAAACCTTTTTTACACACATGTTAAACAGAAACAGTTTAGGGTTAAATGAATGTCCCCCAAATATCTTCTCATCTCTCTTCTCATTATGAAACCTCATTCTGGGTATACATTACTATTAATACTACTACTACTACTACTACTACTACTACTACTAATAATAATAATAATAAAAGTAAGAAGAAGAAGAATTGAAGAGTTAATTTGCAAAAACAATAAATGCCTTCTTTAAAAAAAAAGCTGACTGTCATGAGTTATTTTTTAACACATAAGAACCATAAATATGTTTTGTCACAAAAGCTGTTATTGTTTACTGTCCAGGCATTGCAAGTTCACTTTTTACAGCAGAAACGGTCAAACGCCAATGCTGTTCTCCAGCAGAACCCAATAAGTCTGCTTAGTGAATCACCTGGAAAAAAAATATTTAAGGTTCACAATTGGACCTTAAAACCACTGTTGTACCTTTAAGGGAACATTTACATTGTTTGTAACTTGATGAATGAAAAATGTACCTGAACAAAACCTTTATTACTAACAGTGTACAAAATGCAGCATGTGCTCAGTGACAGCAACAGAGCTCAGTGTGTCTAACAGCAAACCACTGTGGATTCAGCCATGTAAGCACAATTCATACTGGACATAAAGTGCAATATTTGGGTGTAAAAGCCAAAATTTCAACTCACATAGTGCACTATATAGGGAGCAGTGAGCTGTTTGAGATTCAGCCTTAGGATTTTCCAAGCTTTGATCTTGATATTTAATATTGACCATTAATGAACTGTTTTTGTTGCAGTTTTCAGCTCTTTACCTCTTTGTTTTATGTTAAAGAATGTTAAATATTGCACTTAAAAGAAACTTGTGTCCATTACACGGCCATATTTAACTTTGAAACATGAAATGACCATTGGAATTCTTCAAGTTTACTACCACTATTAAATAATGAAATGTATTATTAGAGAGCATTAGATTGTCTTTCTCCTTGCACAACTTGCCTCGAGGTGTTATAACCCTGGGTTTCTCCTGCTTTGTATAGTATAGTAAGACTTCCTCCTTGCAGCTCCTGCCTCTACTCGTTGTAATCCTGAAAGACACAGATAACACAGTCAGAGTTTTGGAGTATCATTTAATATAAATATTTTCTTTATTTTGTATATTGCAGTTTTACAGACTGCAGCCCCTGTTTATAGAGAGCGGCTCCTTTTTGTGCAGCTGCTGTCAGCTTGATTCATTGCGGTATGTTTAAATGCAAATTTTCACAGGTGACAAGAGGAGACAGAGAGCTGATGGAAGGAGATCATCTGTTGATCTTAGTTCGCTCTAGTTTTTCTTTATCAGCTTGGTGTCTTGGAGCTCTTAGGCATATGTGATTTAACACACTACCAGCTGACCTACAGAACACTGACTCAAGCAGCTCACACTGTACAGATTTACTGATTTATATATGAAATATTTTCATCTATTGCTCCACTGTAATTTGGCCATTTTGCTACATGTGTGTCTGAGCTGTATGTGATATCAGTGAGTTTGTGTGAGACCCAGTAACAACTGTTATTATCACACATTTATTTCTTCTTTATTCAAAATAATACATGATTACTGCATCACCTAAAACATTAGATTGCTTAATTAATCAGAGCAGTTCTCCTGTTTGCCATTTATTAAGTAAAAATTGTCTTTTTTTTCTGTTGTCTTAATTTGATTATATTAAAAGTTTAATAATCCAAAGTAATGGAAAGTAATCAGATTATGTTACTTCTAAAGTTAGATACTCACACATAGCCCTGCTTTGGGCAGCTGGAGTGTACTTTTTCCACTTTTTGGATCATTTTTTCTGGAATTTTAAAATGGACAAAGTTGAAACAGCACTGGTCAGGATGTCCAATGTAGTGAGCTGATGAAGAGGAGAAGAAAACATTATTGGTTTCTGTTTTAATTACTGTAAAAACCAACACGCCTTCATCAGCTCCACTACAGCTACACCTGAACACAAAGCACATGTTAAATACAGACTGTTCAGGGTTAAATGACTGTATATCAACCATCAAAATCAAACTACTACTACTACTACTACTACTAATAATAATAATAATAATAATAATAACATCAATAATAATAATAATAAGAAGAAGAATATGGCAATTAACAGTGATAGTAGATGTTATTATTATTAGCATTGTGAATACTACTACTAATAAATATAATGATAGTTAATAATATTACTTGAATTTTGTTATTCCATCCATCCATCCATCATCTAAACCGCTTATCCTTCTGGGTCGTGGTGGGGTGCTGGAGCCTATCCCAGCTGTCATTGGGTGGAAGGCAGGATACACCCTGGACAGGTCGCCAGTCCATCACAGGGCAGACAGACAGACATACACATTCACACACACACTCACACCTAGGGGCAATTCAGCATGTCCAGTCAGCCTGACTGCATGTTTTTGGACTGTGGGAGGAAACCGGAGTACCCAGAGGAAACCCACGCAGACACGGGGAGAACATACAAACTCCACACAGAAACGACCCTGGTCACCCGGCCGGGAATCGAACCCAGGACATTCTTGCTGTGAGGCGACAGCGCTGCCCACTGCGCCACCGTGCCGCCCGAATTTTGTTATTATTATTATTAATTATTATTATTATTATTACTACATGCTACACTTTTTTTTTTTTTATTAAACTCCAATATGTTAACCTTAGCAAATAAAAAGAATGTGTGCACTAAAATCTGCAGACAAATACCAAACTGTGCAGGCCATGTTCACTTATTTAACTTTGGCATACGACTCTATTGTAGTATCTGTTTATAAAGAGATAAAATGAATTATTAAGATGTAAAAATAAAAATAAAAATTATTGTTAAGATGTTATAAACTCACGCTCAGCATCTGAGGAGACGGTCATCAGCAGGACCAGCCCCAACACCAAACACACACAGCTCATCTTCATCTCCATCTTCTCTGCAGGCGTCTGAAGCTCTGAATGTTTCTCTCTCCGTCTGTATTTCCAGTTTTAGCTGGTAAGGCTCTATTTAAATTAGCTTATTTTCAAACATTGATTACAAGCCGGCAGTTCTACCCACCCCCCCACCACCACCACCACCCCCACCGCTCACCACATCTTCCTCTCAGTGCGCTGAGCAGAAGCTCTAGCGTGAAAATGACCCATGATAGCGTCTCAGATGTATCTGATAAATGCAGTACACGAGTCTGCAGACAGTCAGTGAAGCTCTGTTCATGCAGCAATCAGTTAATATATCATCCTTTAACTTTAATTACACCCAAACTGTTCTATAATTCAGTCTGTTAAAGCTAATTTGATGCATATGTGTAAACTTATTGTAGAGAACTACACAAACAACTTTTCATCTTTTAATTTTTTTTTCATCTGGCTTACATATCTTCAAAATTGCAAATACAATAACTTCTCTTTTATGTGCAAAACCAAGAGGAAATGGAAAACAGGACTCCTAACAACCAAGTGGAAGACCTGGTTGACATCAAAACTGCCCCCATCAGATAAACAGCACTTAATGCTTTCATCTCTGAGAGAGAGGAGAAAATCAAGCTGCTTCAGGGGGAGAGGTGGAGAGACCAGATTGATGTTGCATACTGAAGTGAAAGTTCTTGAGTGCAGGAGACCTGAAGCTTCTTGACCTTCACCCTCCACTGAATGGACACATGATCTCTGATGGTGAGAAGCTGAGACACTACTGGAGCTCATCAACAGTCCATTAGATAGTGAGGGCTCCTCTGTCCACAGCAGCATATTTCTGTCTGGACAGGGAAGCTCTCACTATCAGATGGACTGTTGATGAGCTCTAGTTCTGTCTCAGCTTCTCACCTTCATCAGGTCCTGCACTCAAGAACTTTCCCTTCAGTGTATAACATTGGTCTCTCCACTGTAATGTTGAAGGTCTCTGTCAGCTAAATACATTCTGGTCAGGTGACAGTGGCTCCTCGGCAAGAACTCAGGCATCCTGAACTATCGGGTGCCCTGAACACATCTGTTTACATGCAGTACTGTCTACTGGTTGTAGGTCATTCAGTGGATTTCTCTGATGAATTTAGAAGCTCTTAAGCAAGATATCCTCACATGAGTGCCAATTTGTGTTCCACAGATCAAATTTAAACAAGCTGGTTAGCTGGTTGGAATGTTGGCCAGTCAATGGGCCTTTCTGTCAGCATTGGCGGTTCTTGGGTGAATTTAATGATTCTGTTCTAGGCAAAAGACAGGAATGGGGCTCCCTGGAATGGGGCATAACATTCTAAGTTGCAAATAAAATAGACATTTTCATTTTATTAACTGAAATGATCTCAAATGAATGATATTAATATTGTTTGTATTGTTATATATTGTTTGTTTTAATCCCTTTTTACATTCTAAGACTACAGGGAGCTATTCTTAGGTTATAGAAGTGTGTAATAAAACTTTGGGCCTGCTGACAGGCTCTGGCCATGTAACAGGTTGAGAAATATGTTGAAAACAAGTTCAATTATCTGCCAGTGTAGTGTTTGGTAACATAAAGTAACATACACCGTTCAGCCGTAACATTATGACCACCTCCTTGTTTCTACGCTCATTGTCCATCAGCTCCACTTACTATATAGGTGCACTTTGTAGTTCTACAGTTACAGACTGTAGTCCATCTGTTTCTCTGCATACTTTGTTAGCCCCCTTTTACCCTGTTCTTCAGTGGTCAGGACCCTCATGGACCCTCACAGAGCAGGTACTATTTGGGTGGTGGAGAAACGGATGGAAAAATGGACAATGAGCGTAGAAACAAGGAGGTGGTCATAATGTAATGCCTGATCAGTGTATATATGGGTGTTCTCAGATGTTTTCTATTGATATGCCATTGTTCTGTGTCCTGATGAAGGCCTGAGGCTGCAATGAAGAAGCAGTCGGCACATTTTTATACTTGCACATTTTAAAATTGCCATGTTTCAATAAAGGCTTTTTATACAATGCGCCTGGGATTTCTTTGTTCTGGGATTTATTTTGCTCATGGCTTATGGATGCGGATGGATACTTTTTAGGTTTTTAGCCTCTCCTAGCATAGAACCATTTCTTTTTTGAGTTTTCTGCACCCATGCCTCAGGAGCGCCTGTCTTTTTGTTTAATTTTTGTGACCTCTGTAGCACTTCTTCATTTCTGTTGAATAATATCAATATCAAACCAAAAAACCTCCTCTTCATCTCTTCACCTCCTCTGTGGATTGTTAGTGCATTTTTCCTAGCAGTCTGTCTTCTTGCGGTTGTGTTATCACATAATAAGATGGAACAGTCCATTATAATCATGATAGGGGGAGGGTCCACATTGAAATTACTAAAAAGAATTGCTATTATCACAAATAACAGCTATTTTTATCATGTATATATAATTCAGAACAGATTATTGAATATCAACTTTACAGTAAATCTAATCTGCATTTTCATGGGCCTACTTTTGCCTAGTGCAAAGACCACCCCTGGTTCTTGGTCATGTTAAACGCTGCATACAAAAGTCTTGCAAGACTATCCTTTCACCTCCTTCATAAGCTATAACCCAAAACTCAACACCACTGCTTGTTTTATATACAGACAGCTTTCAACATATTGTTTTATTATTATTATTATTATTATTATTGTCTAATCTGTTTACCTAAATGTGCACTATTATCAGACAATTATACTAAACACATAATGGGTCACCTTTATCTCTTCATTACACACAGTTGTTGTAGTTTTGTTTGTGAATGTTATACACAGTCAATATCACTACATCACTATCACTGCATCTATAATATCCACATAATACTATGACAATATAAACAATAGTGTACATTATGTATTGTTTTATTTTGATTCACAGCATAGAATGAGCATTAATAATATTAAAGGAAAGCAATACACTGTATTGTACAGATGTAATGTAATGTACTTGTTTTGCTCTGTCATGCATTATTTTATTTCAATCACTGGTAATATTGAAAAAGCAAAGCACTGATTGATAAAATCCTGTGATGATTAAAGGGTTTTGTAAAGCTTTTAGCCGCACTGTGTGCTGCGTCTGGGTTCCGTTGAAGCTGCAGCTCTGAAATCTAGTTCTAGTTCAGGTCCTTCTTGCAGAATCTGCCCCTCTTCGTTGTGACCCTAAAATATGCATATCAGATTTAATATAGAAACAAATGTGTTTGTGATATATTAAAACAGTGAACTACACATCACTGTCGGAACAAAATCTTATCTTCAATTTTTTAAATAAGATTTGAAAGCAGTAGCTGTCATTTGCATTGGCCCCATTGTTCCAAAACTAGGTGGAAAAAATCTTATTACATTAAAGCAGCACTATGTAATACTTTTTTTTTGGTAAAACTGAAAGTAGTAGCTTTACTGAGTATGGAGAAAACAGAACACACTACTACAAAATACAATGAGAGTGCACTGCTGCGAGTCGCCCTGTAAAGCCTGAAATAATCATTTAAAAGTCCAAGGCGTTTTCACGTCACACACGCAGGCTCAAAAGACTGGCTCGATGTTTAGGCCACAAATGATCTCAAAACCAATATCATACTGATGAAGATGTGATGACAATACTAGATAATTCACTCACATCCTCAGAAGACGCTCCTTCACCCAGTTTAGACTAAATTCTCTTTGAATTCTCTTTCAAGGCACTCACAAAAATCCACTTGTGGGGCTCTAAAGCACAACTGATGTTCCAAAATGTTCTTATGCATGTTGCATGCAATTAGAGATTCCCACCAGAGAGGTCTCCAAATCCCCCAAACTTGCAAAGCATTGCTTTAACTAACATTAAAGTTAGGAATATTTTTTCCCTTCCCCTGAACATTTCCCATTTTAGAGACATAACAGTTTGTTCAGTGACAGTGACATGACAAGGATATACATAGTGAGATGACAGTGATATTGATCTTACATACAAGGCAGATACTCACACATAGCCAGACTTTGGGCAGGCGGAATGTATTTTTTCTTCTTTTAGTATTTCTGTAGCTGGAATTTTAAAAGTGATGAAGCTGAAACAGCATGAATCAGGATGGCAAAGACCATGAGCTGAGGAAGAGGAGAAGAAAGATTTTGAAGCTCTTCTAGTTGTACTTCTACTACTACTACTACTACTACTACTACTACTACTAATAATAATAATAATAATAATAATAATTATAATAGTGGTTATTTTAATGAAAATAGATTACAAAATTGTTATTGTTGATTATCATCATCAATAGTAATTGTACTCACTGCTTTTTTTGTTGTAGTACTAATTATTATTATCAGTAGTAGTAGTATTGTCAGTGGGCCTGATTCACCAATATCTTTCCAAGTTTTTTCCTAAATTTGTTCTTGAGAAAATTCACTCAAGAACACTAAGAAAAAGTCTATGTCAGATTCTTGATGTGTTCTTAAAGTGCAGAACTGTTCACACCTTTGTGCTCTTGAGTGTGTGTAGATTCTGTTCTTACCTAAGAAAAATCCTACATGAGAAAACACTGATGAATATCAGAGTCTGTGTAAGGTGTGTGTTTTAGGAAGAAATTTCTCAAGAACGGTTGGTGAACGAGGCCCAGTCTTATTGCTGTTACAATCAGAGGTGGGAATAATGTCAAACTGTATTAAACTGAAATTATGAGCACAAAGCAAGAGGCTCAAAGTAATACACATCTACGTGTAAATACATTCAATTAAATCCAAGTGAAAGTTACAGATAAAGAGTCAGTACATCCTTTAACTGTTCAGAAATATTTTCAGATTGTGATTGTGGACCTACAAAAAAAAAAAATCACTCAATTATTCAAATAGTTTTTCAATAAACAACTAATGTACTCTTACTTGAGTAACTTCTTTTATTAATACTTTCCACTCAAGTAAATTATCACTAGAGTAACAGCACTTTTACATAAGTAGGGATTTGTAGTGCTCTTTACACTCCTAACAAAGTATAATTACTTGAGTATTTTCCACCCCAGTTATGTGTTATTCTGTGCCAAGATCTGACTGCAAAGCTAGAAAGCGCATTAAGATATTATAAACTCACGACAAGCATCTGAGGGGACGGTCGTCAGCAGGACCAGTACCAGGACCAAACACACACAGCTCATCTTCATCTCCATCTTCTCTGCAGGCGTCTGAAGCTCTGAACGTTTCTCTCTCCGTCTGTATCTCCAGTTTGAGCTGCTAAGTCTCTCTCACTCTTTTTTAAAAATCACTTCATCTTGAATCGTTTATTAAAGGCTCTGCCCTCCAATGACTCCCCCCCCCCTTCACCACATCTTCCTCTCAGAGTGCAGAGCAGAAGCTCTAGTATGAAGATGACCCATGACAGCAGATCTGATGAGTCTGATAAGCTCAGTGCACTAAACATCAGACAGTTACTGAAAACCTGTGATGCAGTTTATCTATTATGCAATAACTCATCAATACACTTCAGGAAATTAAATCAAAATTGCTACACTACATATCTAAATGTGTGTAGACACTCCTAATTAGTGTGTTTGGTAACACACACTGTTGACAGATGCATAAAACCAAGCATACAGTCATGCAGTCTCCACAGACAAACACTGGCAGTAGACTAAGTCATACGGAAGAGCTCGGAGATTTTCAACACGGCTCTGTCTCAGGATGACACCTGTCCGCAAAGTCTGTCAAATTTCTGCTCTGCCTGATCAAATGTAAGTGCTGTTACTGTGACGTGGAAACATCTAGGAGCAACAGCTCACCTACAAAAGGGAAGGGAAAAACAACACATAGGATAAAAACAGATCTACTAAGTGCTGAAGCGCATAGCACAAACATTTTGTCAAATGGGCACATGTGCGATGTCCTAAGTGACTCATCTTTGTCTGTGGTTCATCATTTGACTCATCATTGCAGGAGGCCTATAGTAAATTTGTTATACACTCAAAAAGAAAGAAAAAAACGAATGCTGATTTGGTTTATTTGCCGTGTAATGCTGCTCAACCGTTTCTTTCTATTTGGTCAGAGATGGAGAGTAATCAGTGATAATTTAAATCAACTTAGCAGAGTGGACAAGAGCAGCAGAATAAGGATGACAGCCTCAAGTGCTGCTGGTCATAACTTGTGGTGACTGGCAGGAAATCACAATTTACTTTGAGAAACAGGTTGGTTTCCTGTATTACATGGCCAACTGGAGGGGGAACCCACTGAGCTTTTGGTCCTAAACCAATTATAGATCAATGTGTCCATGTACTGTTACCACCCCACATTTTGTCTAGGGTGCTGTTTGATCGGTTACAAGTGGCATTAAAATATTGAACCTCATGATGAAGGGATAAAAGCATTAGGAACAGACAAACAAGAGCTTTTTTAAGCCATTCTATCTAAACAAACCACAATGAAAAGGCTGTGCTTTCATACCTAGTACCACACAGGAAGAATCAAACTGAAGAGGAAAAGAACAAAAAACATGCCAACTCAACAAAAAGTACTTAGTTAAACTAAGCAATGAAACAAAAGCCAACTAAACATCTCAGGCCAATAATCAAAAGTACATGGGATGGTGCCCACCTTCTGACCGAGGGGACTACACAGAAGAAACCTATGTTGTGCAATTCTATAGGCTTGTCCCACTTACCTGTTTGAAACCCCAGGTGGTACAAATAATCAAGCAACTCTTGTGAACTGAGTTGGGGGTGTCGTCCTCCCACACAAGAGACAAGCTAAGTTAAAGAAAATACTACTAAAACCTCTAACTTCTAACACTAGAGACTAAAACCCACAAACTAACACACAGCACACATGGGATCAGTCCTCGCTCCACTCAGCCATCTTGAAGGCCTCCTTTTGAGGCTTAGGCTCTTCCCCAGTTACACCAGCCAGGACTGTGATTGGTTAGAGGTGCTCCACACATGACTGATGGCTAAAGCAGTTACACCTTTGAAAATGAGAGACCAGGTGAGACGGGGAGACAGACGAAAAAAGCAAAATATATGCTTTCATGTAACAGTACACAGTATACACCTCTCACACTCTCACCTTCAGTGGCCACATTGGAGCTAAAAACACGGCACAGACTCTGGGATCAGTACAACTCAAGGAGTCACAAAACTGTTGGTCCAGCTTCACTGTGATAAGGCTAAAACCAGATATTAGCAATTCTGTAAGGACTTCTGAAACCTAAATGACGTGTCTGAGCAGTTGCCCAGTGACCTGAGTGAAGGAACTTATAGAGAGGCTCAGGAGATAGAGAGAGGTTGTTTCTGTTGAATGGGTTGTTGGTACAACTACATCATAGATAACTCCAGTGGATGGTCAAGGCCAAAGGTCATCAGGTTAATTGTCCTCCAGAACTTCCACTTCAGGTTGCCACATCTGTCTGGCCACTCCATGGCAATGCAGAGTGACCTTTCTTCTCTAACCATCCACAATATCTGTGTGTGTGTGTGTGTGTGTGTGTGTGTGTGCGTGTCTGTGTGTGTGCCTTTTCTATTCTGTCAACCTAACTGTACAGCATTACTATAGAGAAGGTGGTTACACTAAACAGTCATCCCCATTACTACTGGTAAATAATAATTATGATGTTTGTTGCTGGTTACTATTAAAATTGTTAATATTATCATTAGAAGTAATATTATTAGTATTAATAATACTAATCATCAGTGATAATTGATAGCATGTTCTTATTAATTTTTGCGTTTGAGCTGCTGAGACTTTCTCTCTCACTCTCCCTCTCTTTTTCTCTCTCATTAAATTCACTTATTTAAAGGCAAGTAGTTCTGCTCCCCACCAACTCCTCTGTTCACCATATCGTCCTTTCTATAAAGAGGATGTGTGATAGCATGTCTGATGTATCTGATAGAGCAGAGTATGAGTCATCAGGTGGTTAGTGAAGGCCTGTGAAGTCTATTTCTTAGAGATTTACTGATTAATGTATCATCCAATAACCAAAACCTATAGAAGCTAATTTAATGCATGTGTGTAAACATATTGTAGAAAACTATGTAAATGTTTTTTCTTTATCTTCTTATCCGGCCTACATCTCTCTGCAAAGTGCAAATACATGAACTTCTCATTACCTTCTATAAGTTTACCTCATAAAAATACTTTTCTATCTGAGTTACTCAAAGAGGAAAAGGTGAAAGATCATTACAGTAAGCCTATAGGACCCCAAAAGAATGAGAAAAACAACAGAAATGCTGGTACTCTTAGGTGTTAACAGTGTTCTCCCTGCTTGGTCAGATGTGGAGAAAGCAATCAGATTAGTGATAGTAATCACTAAAATTCTTCAGCAGGCAGTCAGTGGAAGGAGAAGCACTGGAACTGGAGCACTGCATGTTCTTAAGTGGTTTATGATCATAATATTCTCAGAGAAACTTTAGAGTAGATGAAATTAGAATTTAAGTAGCTACTGTCACCAGCTTTGATAAACTCAGTCATTAACCACACGTCCATTCACAAACAGTTGATACTTGTGCATTGATGTGAAAAATATACACCTGTATACAAAACCACTACTACCACTGCTACTACTGTGAATTCTACTACTACTACTTCCACTACTACTACAGATTATATTACTACTTCTACTTCTACTACTACTACTGCTACTACTACTACTTCTACTACTGCTGCTACTTCTACTGCTACTGCTACTACTGATACTTCTACTACTTCTACTACTACTACTACTTTTACTGCTACTACTACTACTTCTGCTGCTACTACTACTACTACTTCTACTACTACTGCTAATACTTCTGCTACTACTGCTACTACTAATTCTACTACTATTTCTACTACTACTACTACTTCTACTGCTACTACTACTTTTACTACTACTACTACTACCACTACTACTACTAATTCTACTACTACTTCTACTACTAATTGTACTATTACTACTACTACTGCTACTACTACTTTTACTACTACCACTACTACAACTACTACTGCTATTGCTACTACTACTACCGCTACTGCTGCTGCTATTATACTACTACTGCTACTACAAATTCTACTACTACTACTACTACTTGGGTTCAACTAGCAATCAAGAGCTAGTTACAGTTATAGATCTATAGTCAGTAAGCAAGCTAGAATCAAGGTCAGCTTTTTTTCAATAACAGGGGTGTTATTGCTGCTTTTCAGAAGCTCATGAACATAACCTGAGTATAAAGAATGTTTAACAATGCAAGTAATAAGCAGACAGCTTAATTATGGTAAACAGATTTGACCAGAGCAGAGAGACTATGAAGACTACGCCTATGGTAGAGGACATGCCAGCAGAATAACATCAGCCTCACTGACCAAGCTAAACCTCAGCAGTTGGCAAGTAAAAGGCACGGGTGAAAGCTGTATAACAGAATCAGATGGATGTGAGGCCAGCAGCTAATCTGTGATGTCTCATTTCTTTACATAAAATCATAAAATCACTAGCAGAAATACAATTACACAGTCAAAACTTTATATATGCTTTGTTCTTAAAATCATGTGATGCCCCCTTGAGCATCAATGCCAGCTTACTGCTTTTAGTGACAGGTGTGAATCAGTGCCTCATTTGCTCAGGTCATAAAGCTGCTCTCTCTCGTTGTAAAAAAAACTCCAGGTTTTGTAAATTCTCTGGTTGCCTTGCAGGTACTGCACATTGGAGTTCTCCTCAGTTCTCCTTAGTGTGGCTGAATGATGTTGAGGTCCAGGGACTGTAAGGGCCACTCCAGAACATTCATTTTATTATGCTGCAGCCAATGAAGCTCCAGTCTGGCCTTGTGCTTACAACCATTGCAACCTGTGTGCAGCTTCTGGGTTGATGTGTGCAAATTTTGTTCCAAGATTTCCTGATAATCTGTTGCGTTCATGTTGGTGTTAAGTTTGACCACATTTCCTGTTCAGCAGTACTTCATGCATCCCCAAAACAGCAGAGATACATCTTCATGCTTCATGGAAGAGTTGGCCTGTTTACCCTCATGGGCCTTGTTGACATTACGTTTATGATTGTGACTATAAAGTTCAATTTTTGTCTCATTACGCCAAATCGTCGGAATTATAAGGTTCTGTGTGTTTAGTGCAGTTTTGAGATACTGAGGAAAGATTTCAATCTTTAAATAGCAATTATTTTGTACCTATAATATCCTAACAAAGAAATTGTCTTGAGATACTTTTGATTGACATCATAATTGTAGGATATTTGGAATGGACCAAACACAGATATTATACTAGACTGATGCTATGAGGAAATTTGTTGTACT